GAGCAAGTCAAGAAGGTACGTCTTCAAACTCTAAGAAGAGAATTTGAAGCATTGCAAATGAAGGAAGGTGAACTTGTCCAAGATTACTTCTCAAGAGTTCTAGCGGTTACTAATAACCTAAAGAGAAATGGGGAGAAGCTAGATGAAATAAGAATCATGGAGAAGGTTCTTAGATCTCTGGATTCAAAATTTGAGCATATTGTCACTGTCATTGAAGAGACAAAAGACTTGGAGGATATGACAATGGAGCAACTACTAGGATCACTACAAGCTTATGAAGAAAAGAAGAAGAAGAAGGAAGACCTTGCAGAACAAGTACTCAAGATGCAAATTGATCAAACCAAAAATGGAAGCGGCCGAAGTCATCCAAGAAGAGGTGGTGGTCAAGGACGAGGAGGTTGTGGTTATGGAAATGGACGTGGCTGGAGGTCCTATGAAGACAAAACTAACCAAAGAGGAGAAAGCTCATCAAGAGGACGTGGGAAAGGAACTCCAAAATCAAGGTACGACAAATCAAACGTCAAATGCTATAATTGTGGGAAGTTTGGACATTATGCTTCCGAATGCAAAGCTCCAAACAACAATAGAGTTGAAGAGAAGTCCAACTATGCTGAAGAAAGATGCCAAGAAGAAGATATGCTGCTAATGGCGTACAAGAAAGATGAAAGAGATGAGGTCCACAAGTGGTACCTTGACAGCGGTGCAAGCAATCACATATGCGGGAAAAGAAGCATGTTCGTGGAGCTTGATGAGTCGGTGAAAGGAAACGTGGCCTTAGGAGATGAATCAAAGATGGAGGTGAAAGGTAAAGGAAAAATTCTCATCTGAATGAAGAATGGAGATCATCAGTTCATCTCCAATGTTTATTATATTCCAAGCATGAAAACCAACATCTTGAGCCTTGGACAACTCTTAGAGAAAAGTTATGACATTCGACTAAAAGAGAATAGTCTTTCTATAAGAGACCAAGCTAACAATCTCATCACCAAGGTGCCGATGTCAAAGAATAGAATGTTTGTTCTTAACATTCAAAATGACATCACAAAATATCTCAAGATGTGCTACAAGGAGGAGTTTTGGCGTTGGCATCTTCGTTATGGACATCTCAACTTTGGAGGCTTGGAGCAACTCTCTAAGAAAGAAATTGTGAGAGGATTGCCCTGCATCAATCATCCAAATCAGGTGTGTGATGGGTGCCTACTTGGAAAGCAATTCAAAATGAGCTTTCCAAAGGAGTCAGAGACAAGAGCACGAAAACCATTGGAGCTCATACATACAGATGTTTGTGGCCCAATTAAACCAAGATCACTCGGTAAGAGTAACTACTTCCTTTTCTTTATTGATGACTTTTCAAGAAAAACATGGGTTTACTTTTTGAAAGAAAAATCAGAAGTGTTTGAGAACTTCAAAAAGTTTAAAGCCCATGTTGAGAAGGAAAGTGGCCTTGTGATCAAAGCCATGAGATCTGATTGAGGAGGAGAGTTCATGTCGAAAGAGTTTCTGAAGTATTGTGAAGATAATGGCATTAGAAGACAATTGACGGTGCCAATATCCCCTCAACAGAATGGAGTAGCGGAAAGAAAGAACAGAACAATTCTAGAGATGGCAAGAAGCATGCTCAAAAGTAAGAAGCTACCAAAGGAGTTTTGGGCAGAAGCAGTTGCATGTGCGGTCTATCTATCAAACAGATCTCCAACAAGAAGTGTTTGAGAGAAAACACCACAAGAAGCTTGGAGTGGAAGAAAGCCCGGTGTTTCACATCTAAGAGTCCTTGGAAGCCTTGCCCACGCTCATGTACCTGATGAGAAACGAAGCAAGCTAGATGACAAAAGTGAGAAGTACATCTTCATTGGGTACGATGCAAACTTCAAAGGCTACAAGCTCTACAATCCTGATACAAAGAAGACAATCATCAGTCGGAATGTCATCTTTGATGAAGAAGAAGAATGGGATTGGAGATCAAATGATGAGAACTACAACTTCTTTCCACAAGTTGAAGAAGATGATTTGGAGCAGCCAAGAGAGGAGCCAATTACTCCACCAACCTCACCAACACCAAGTTCTCAAGGAGATGAGAGTTCGAGTGAAAAGACTCCACGTTTTAGAAGTCTGCAAGAGCTTTACGAGGTAACCGAAAATCAAGAAAACCTTACTCTATTTTGCCTGTTTGCGGATTGCGAACCCATGAACTTCCAAGAAGCAATGGAGAAGAAGACATGGAGAAACGCAATGGATGAAGAGATCAAGTCAATACAGAAGAATGAGACATGGGAGTTAGCTTCACTTCCAAATGGGCATAAGGCGATTGGTGTAAAGTGGGTGTACAAAGCGAAGAAGAACTCCAAAGGAGAAGTTGAAAGATACAAGGCAAGACTGGTGGCAAAGGGCTATAGTCAATGAGCCGGAATCGACTATGACGAGGTATTTGCTCCTGTTGCTCGATTAGAAACAGTTAGACTAATCATTTCATTAGCAGCCCAAAAGAGGTGGAGGATACATCAAATGGATGTAAAATCAGCCTTCCTAAATGGAGATCTTGAGGAAGAAGTCTACATTGAGCAACCACAAGGCTACATAGTCAAAGGAGAAGAAGATAAAGTCTTGATGTTAAAGATGGCGCTCTATGGGTTGAAACAAGCACCAAGAGCTTGGAACACTCGTATTGATAAGTATTTCAAGGAGAAAAGCTTCATCAAGTGTCCATATGAGTATGCACTATATATCAAACACAGAACAATGATATATTGATTGCATGCTTATATGTAGATGACTTGATATTCACAGGCAGCAATCCAAGTATGTTTGAAGAATTCAAGAAGGAGATGACGAAGGAGTTCGAGATGACCGATATTGGATTGATGTCTTACTACCTTGGAATTGAAGTGAAACAAGAAGACAATGGAATCTTCATCACTCAAGAAGGTTATGCTAAAGAAGTGCTGAAGAAGTTCAAAATGGATGACTTGAATCCAGTTTGTACTCCAATGGAATGTGGAGCTAAGTTATCAAAGCATGATGAAGGAGAGAGTGTGGATCCAACACTCTTTAAGAGTTTGGTTGGGAGTCTTCGTTACTTAACATGTACAAGGCCTGATATCTTACATGCAGTTGGAGTTGTGAGCCGATACATGGAGCATCCAACAACCACTCACTTCAAGGCAGCTAAGAGGATCCTTCGCTATATCAAAGGTACGATCGACTTTGGCTTGTATTACTATATTTCTGATGATTACAAGCTTGTTGGATATAGCGATAGCGACTGGGGTGGAGACGTAGATGATCGGAAAAGCACAAGTGGTTTTGTGTTTTTCATTGGAGAAACAGCTTTCACATGGATGTCGAAGAAGCAACCGATTGTCACTCTTTCCACTTGTGAAGCGGAGTATGTAGTGGCTACTTCATGTGTTTGCCATGCTATTTAGTTACGAAACTTATTAAAGGAGTTGAGTTTACCACAAGAGGAGCCGACGAAGATTTTTGTGGACAACAAGTCAGCAATAGCTTTGGCAAAGAATCTTGTCTTCCATGATCGAAGTAAGCACATCGACACTCGCTATCATTACATTAGAGAATATGTTACTAAGATGGATGTGCAGTTGGAATACGTGAAGACGGACGATCAGGTAGCTGACATCTTTACCAAGCCACTCAAGCGTGAAGCCTTTATCAAGATGAGAAGTTTGCTTGGAGTAGCAAAATCAAGTTTAAGAGGGGGTGTTGAAAGATAAACTTGATTTTGGATCAAGCTTAAATATTGGGTTAATGATCCAATAATAATTGGGCCAAAACCCAATTATGCTTAATCAAAGATTCTAGAGTTTTCTCTAGAAAAATCAACACTTCCACCTCCTTAAAATGTTCTAGAGAGTTGTAGAAAATAAATATCTAGAGATTTTTCTAGATAATTGTTGTAAAATAATTTAAATATTAAGATAGAATTCTCTAGATTTAGAAATAAAATATTTTAGATATTTTGTACTTTGGAGGCTATAAATAGCTATCTCCTCTCTCATTTTGTAACCAACAAGCTAAAAGAAATAATAAGAAAAGTTAAGTGAAGTTCCTAAATTCTCTAAGTTCTAAAACTTTCTTTTTCTTAAATTTGTTCATTTGTCTTTCAAATTCTTAAACACCTTCTCCATCACTCTTAAAAGTTATTTCTTTCCAACACACGGGAAGATAGGTTAAGCTTATTACCGGATCATTTGTTGTGTGAGATACTCTCTGATCTTCGTACAAAGATGGCTATTAGGACAAGCGTTTTGTCCAAGAGATGGAAAAGTCTCTGGCTTTCGGTTCCTGTCTTGGATTTGCACGTCAATCACTTCCCTAATGGTAATTCCTTTGTGAGTTTTGTTCAAGGGTTTCTACATGTCTCTAAGCAGTCACGCTTACTCAAGCTCAAACTTGCTTTCAACAGTGCTGATGCTGGTCATACGAAACAGTGGTTCGACTATGCAGTTTTGCATAAAGTCCAGCATTTGGATATCAAATGTCGTTTTCTTTTTGGTCTGGACAGCGTTTACACATGTGAGACTCTGCGACACTTGAAACTCCGTTCTGTAAAGCTGTCAGACTTGGAGCATGTTTCTCTACCTCGTCTCAAGATCTTGCATTTAGAAGACAACATCTACTCTAATGATGCCTTTCTTGAGAAGCTGATCTCATCTTGCCCACTTCTTGAGGATTTAACAGTTGTTGATAGTGGAGATGTAGATAACGTAGTTAAGGTGTTACGAGTGCGTTCCCAGTCATTGAAGAGTCTTGTGATTGCTCTCAGTGCTGACATGCATTGGGATAGCTATCCGGATGCGGAAGTTGTGATTGATGCTCCTGGACTCAGGTATCTCAGTCTTAAAGATGATGAGCAGCTGAGAAGTTTCGTGATAAACAATCTGAGTTCATCTGCCAAGGTTGATATTGATGTCAACTTTGGTTTGTCCGATTCAAAGACAAGTGCAGTGACAAAATTCTTCACCATGCTCTCGAGCGTAAGGGACATGACTTTACGTAAAACAACTATGAAGGTGAGTGTGTATATATACATATGTCAATGGAGTGAATTGAGCATATGGAGTGACTTTTCTTTTAGTGTTTGCAGATCATCTGTCTCTGCTTGAAATACGAACCGCTTCCCAAATTTCCTTACATGATCCGATTCCATGCGGTCTTCTGTAACTCTGATTTGAAGGAGTTGCCAAGCTTTCTTGAGAGCTGTCCAAATCTCAAATCCCTTGTCTTGGTACCTTTTTTTTTTTTACACTATGGCTTTACTCACATGATCATCATGAGTCCTAAAGATAAAGTCGATCTTATTATTGATAATCTACTTGTTGAATGATATATATGGCAGGAGCTGGAGGAATACAAGAAGAACGAACCACTTGTTTTCTCATCGTCATCAGTTCCAGAATGTTTAAGATCATCGCTAGAGTACGTTGAGCTGAAAACACCCATAAGTGGAGCTAGAGCGGAAATGAAACTAGTAAAGTACTTTCTCGAGAATTCGGCAGTGCTCAAGAAGTTTAAGGTGTGTTTGGGTTATAGGAGAATGAACCAAGAGTCAACCATCTTTATGGAGCTCCTGAGATTAAAGAGATGCTCCGCTTCTTGTGAACTTGTTGTTGAACTTGAAGAGACTTGTCCAATGTACATGTTTTTGTGACACTCAAAATTAAGTTGCAGTTTCCATTTTTAGGAACGTTTAGTATTGGTTATTTCGTAAGATACGAAGGCGAGAGACGAAGACGTAGTGGCCGCTCAAGTTCTCAAGTTTTATGGAGGGGTTTTCAAAGGCCCTGCTCAAATGTTTGGTTGGATTTTCAACTTTTTTTACGGCTTAAGAGTAATGTTTTTCTTTTAAAATGCTTATATATCTTTGTTCAAAACAAAAATATGCTTATCATAACATCCTCTTCTTTCGTCAAATATAAGGAATGATGCTGAGAATTGTACAATTTGTCCTTGCACCAATCGAATATTTTTAACTCACACGGAATTGTAAAATTACAAAAGAAATGCTAAACACTTGAAAAGAAAAAACTTCAAAAATTGAAAACTCACAATTACTGAATCACAAATTCCATAGCTAAATATTTTTTTTTTCAAAAAAAAGGGGCAGAAAAATGAAATTAAATCAAAAGAACACTTCGAGATTCTCCTCCTTTCCTTCTCTTTGATGAAAGTCGCTTCCTTTGTTCCTACTTGTTGTTACCATCTGTATCTTCTTTCCAAACCATTTTCCCTATCAATTTTCCATTAAAATTGTTTTTTTTTTTTATTACTGCAGAAAACTAATAACTTCCTCTTCTTCCCTGAAACACACAGAACACAACTTCTAACTCGGGACATAAGTCCCAATCCAGCCAAGCCCACTGATGAAGAAGGACATTGTCTGAAGAAACAAGTAGATGAAGTAATTGTTCTTCCCGTGCACAAAGTCATAGCATCCACAAACGAACAAGAACGCCGCAAATCCAAGCTCCAATGTATTCAATCTGAGACAAACAACTCATAATCATCAACTATCTATATACTATATAGTTTTGATTAATAAGACATTTTAGTTATAGAAAAGTATATACATACCGATCAGGCAACTTGAAGATTCTAGGGAACCTTTTAAGCCCTTTTGTGTTCCCTTTAGCGCTCTGACCGCTTCCAAGCTTAGCAGTCACGACCCATTCATTAGCCCTTCCTGCCTCAAACAGACCAATGAGAGTGGCCTTTGTCCGGTGCAGCGACATAACATTCTCGAATAGAATCCAATAGAACAGCAGATGAATCGACCTTTTGACAACAATAAGAAAGAAATAGATTTTTAGTATAGGATAGAAACAAACGTAGAAATAAGTGCAGTGACTTGATATACAAGCAACCTAATTTACCTGGGAGTACCGACGGAGTTGAGGATAGTGATGATGGAAGGGATATAAACGGAACCCCAAATTGGAACTTTGACCTCGGGGACGAGGATCGTGAGAGGAAGAACAACGCAGTAGAAACAAAATGTGACCCAATGTGCAATGATCTTCCTCACAAAGAAGAAGCTGTAGATCACGTACACTTTCTTCCAGAATCTCACTTTCTGCGGCAGATCAGTAATACTCAGGTTAAAGAATGAGTAGACAGAAGAAAAAAGGTTAAATTTTTGTTATTGTTTTTCTTTTTACCTTGTTTCTGACAATCTCCATAACCATTTTCCTAAAGAGATTTGCAGGTCCACAAGACCATCTATGTTGCTGAAAACGGAAGGCTCTAAAAGTACTTGGAAGCTCACTTTTCACCTAATACACAAATAAAAATACGGATATTTATATTTACCAATTTTTTCACAAGTAATAACAAAATATCTTAAGTTCTCGTAAAGGTAAATGATTGTAACATAACTTGTGAATATGCTATCATGTGTTTAATGAGACAACTATCTTGTGCACCAACTACCTTTTGAACTAGTATGATTTACTTTATTCTAACTATTAAAATTTTAGAACATAAAGAAATTAAAAACCTGAAGGTCACCGAGGTAGAGAAATTTCCAGCCACGGAGACTTGCTCGGACAGCGAGGTCCATATCTTCCACGGTGGTCCTATCTTTCCATCCGCCGGCTTCATTTATCGCCGCTATTCTCCAGATTCCGGCGGTTCCTATTAATTTTTTTTATATAAACTTCAACGTTTAGCTATAATAATATGACCCCCAAAGAAAAACACAAATCTAATTAATGTACAGAAAAATTAAGATCCGTCTTCATTTGCTTCCAGTACAAGTCATAATGTAATGATTAATGAATGTGTTCCCTTACACAACTTAATCAGTCAAAAACATGATTTAAAAAACAATCAATTGAATTTTGTTTCCCAGCTTGCAAATCTTACTTATTAGACAAGGGATGACAATAAATATTAAGTACAACTACACCTACTTGCTTCACATTTCAGATTCCCCACTCCTCTCAACTCATTATTGATTATCTATAAAATAATTTGATTCATTATAATATACTTATTTTTCAGATTTCTAGTAACAGTTGTACACTATCATACTGTTTAAAGAAAGGTTTGGGTCCACATACTGTGCTTCAATTGGTCGGACAACATACCAACTCCATAACACTAAACTCTAGCATATCAATGTTTTACTAGCAAAACTCCTTAAATTTTTTTTTTTCGGTTATGAAAATTTAATGAAGAAATGGCTTTTAGTAATCATTATTTATTTTTTTTACCGTTGAAGCCGAAGAAAGCATGTGTTGATGAACCGACTTCTTGCTCAACAGTGAAATGGTAGTCCAACGACATTTCTTGCATCCTTGTCAATAAGCATTCATCAGAATTCACTGCAATTAATAAGACAAACGAAGCTTTATTAATTTATGAATTTATACTATTCAAAGGGAATTGCTCAAATGTGGCACTATCAGGAAGTAACGTCCTTCTCTTTTGTTTTTAGCTTTAATAATCAATCATATTCATAGAGCTTTCTCATTATTAAATTCACTAAGTTGGACTCATGCTTTAAAAAAATAAATAAAAAATCTACTACTATAACATAAAATACACTAACTAACAAGTGTCGGCAAGAGAAACGCAGGTCCACGGTAGACTCGATACTCCTACTGTATACTAAATACTTTACTATTACTGACAAGAATGGGTCCCATATTTGAGCATTTAAAGAAAGGCAAAGAGCACGTGGAAGGTATCAGAGACCCGACAATTTCTAAAGACGAACAGTTAACACTCGCCTTCTTTGGTCTTAAAAACCCAGACCCAAACTCATTAAACCGGGTCGAACTGATTTTATTCGATGACCGACGGATCCGAAATTGCGGAGCAGATAAGAAACATGACGTCAGCACAATTATAGGAGAAAGAAAGACTACTTTCGTTGACCCGGAATCGCGCAACTAATCCGACCCGGTATTCTTTTTACTGACGAGACTAGAGTAGTTCCAGTGCGGCAAGGTGTACCTAACTCTAACATAAACTTAGGACAACGGTTTTTTACACGTGTCTAATAGTTATTGGAGGTAATGGACCCACTAGAAAAACCCATACACTATGCAGCTACTCCGCCGACACAAACAGAACTAACCCTACTTCTGCAATCAAGCCAATAGATAAAAAATAATATGTCAAAGAAAAATACAAAAATGACGAAAAGACCATTTCAAAAAGCCAAAAAAGTGATAAATAGGGAACAAAAGATGTACTGTATGCAAGGAAAAGGAAAGGACTAACAAAAAGAAATTTAATTTCTAAAAAAAAATTAAAACAGTGAAAGACATATACCACCGACACCACTAATGTAGCTACAAAACCAAAACCACGAGCTTCCATTTAATGATCGAAACAACATTAAATTTTTCATAAAACATAAACAAAGACACCGATTCAGTAGAGTATTTTGACCCTGACACTTCACAACATTATCAAATGTCAATTTTTATCTATTATATATAACTACCAGTCGTATAGATCAATGAAACAAATTTAAGATACTCTCAACCGATATGACAAAACCCATAAATGAACTATTTGAATTATGCACATTTCAACTATTATAATTTATAAGTGTCAAAATGAAAGTATTACCGAATCGCCATCGGGCTTGGACGAGGGCAATGTTGGGATTGTGGATGAGAAATGGGATGCTCCGGCGAAGAAAGTCGGGTTCGGGCTGAAAATCAGCGTCGAAGATGACAACATATTCGCAATGTTTGACATAATTGCGTTTGAGTCCTTCCTTTAAAGCACCTGCTTTGTATCCAACCCTGTTTTCTCTAATTTGATACCTAATGTTGATTCCTTTACTTGCCCATCTTTGACACTCCATTTCCACCATTTGCTGCACATTTTAAGTATATCATTTAATCACACAATTTTAAAATAAAAGAAAAGCAAATCTATCAATGTTCCAAATTTATTTATTACTGTCGGTTCAAAAGTTTTCCCCCTTTGATTTATGTCTTACCCACCGGACTAATATTTCATCTTTATTTAAGAAAGGAAATCTTTTTGGGAAAAAAAAAAGGCGTAGATATGATTTTATTTAAAGGAAAGATGTGGAAAAATAGATACTGGAGCTAGCTATATATTCTGAAAATGGACTAAGTAAAAATACTAATACCTTAACAGTAGGATCTGTTGAGTCATCCAACACTTGAATCACGAGACGATCGGACGGCCACGATAGTCCACACGCCGCTCCTATTGATAGCTTGTAAACCTGATGGCAAAAATCACGGGGAAAGAAAACTTTTTCACTTTTAGCCCCAATAATTTAGCGATTTACTACGATTAAGCCATGAACTATGGGTTTACACTGAAAAACCCCAAAAAATCCCAGAACATTAAAGAAATACAAGCCTCGACGTTCGCCGTCTCGGGATTTGGGACGGCGAAGGAATATGAATACGTGGGGAAAAGTGACATTTCGTAAAATCTGAGGGTACTTTTCTCGTAATCTTAAAAAAGTGGGGTTAAGAATGTAAGAAAAATTCTTTGAGGAGAAACAGAGCAGTGAACAGAGAGAGAGGAGAGAGGAAAGAGGAAACGGACCTCTCGTTCGTTGAACATGGGGATTTGGACGAGGACCACTGGGAAATTGGAGCTTCCATGCTCTTCGTCATCGTGAATGGGCTCAAACTTGTAGCGTTTGTC